TTCAGAGCTGTCGGAGCTTGTGACTCCCTCCCAATTGAAAAAGAAAACCATGTCCTCAGTTGCCAGCCCTTTCCACGCGAGTGCCTCCATACCTCTGCACTTTACTTCCGCATCTCCTCTGAGTCTCAGTGTGCTTTTCTCTTTCCTTCTACTTGTAGAATTTCCACTCAGCCAGCCTTCCTGTGATTCTAGATGATGTCTGTTTTGTCTTTTCGTTCTATTTTTGAAGTGGTTGTGCGAGGCAGCAATCTCTGGTGTTTACCTATGCAGCCATCTTGGTTTCTCCCTCAGCAGAAATCTTGATAGCTGACCTTGTGCTCCTGTCTCTCTGTGTGTATGTGTGTGTTTGTGTGTGTGTACATCCCCAGTCACGCTCGGACACTCTTTGATTTGCATGGTCCGTGGGCATCCATGAGCACTCTTCAGCCCCTGCCTTCTCCAAGACAGCGCCCCCTGCTTGAATTTCCTCCCTTGGATCTACCCAGAACCGGGGAAGTCCAGGCACCCGGCTCTGCCTTCCCCAGAGGAGGCTGCGAGAGGGGCGCTTGCACTGACGCTCCTTGACCAGCAGATGGTGCGATGGCCCGCTGAAGCGTTTCCAAGTCTTCGAGAGGACTTGTGAGATTCCGTAGGTGCCGGAGGAGCCCCGCAGGGTACCTTCTCCACATCTTGCAGGGCGGCATCTCTGTTTCCTGAGTCGAGGAGGGGACAATACATATTTAGACAGGCTTGGGTGGGCCCAGGACAACCCTCTTTGGCAATGGCGGACCCGGGGCTGTGGGCTATGGTGGAAAACCTGGAGGACGCTCGGGCATCTGGTCTCACATTTCGCAGCATCTCCTGGATGGCAAGAGCAGTGACAGCCCATCAGGGAGGGATTAGAAATGTTTGGGGGGGCTTTAGTGAGCCACACAAGCCTCCTGGGTTTGAGGGGCTGCTGATCCCGGGAGGGTACCCAGACGTTTTTGTGCATTCGCCGCCAATCCACCCGGTTCACATCAGTACGGCTGCACATGCGCCTCAGAGGGGGACCTGGAGCCATTCCAGACATTAGTCCCAGGAGTGGAGGCCCAGCTCCACGGGACGGAACTGCGGCCTGGGAGTGCTGGCAGCTCTGGGAAGCGCGTGCCACGGGCTGATGGGCTCCGAGACGCAGGGCACGCCTTGGCAACAGAACTGAAATCAATGCGCACAACATGCACCCCACCCCCAGTGATCCATTACCAGATGCACAGCCATAAAAATCATGATGTGCAGCCTGGCTGTTGGGGCTCAGTGGATAGAGAGGCAGCCCTCGGACTGAAGCGTCACCGCTTGGATTCTGTTTCAGGACAACTACCTGGGTTGCAGGCTCCATCCCTGACCTTCCTTGGGGTGGGTGCGGTAGGTGACCTCTATTTGTGTCTCTCTCACATTGAAGTTGCTCTGTGGGTCTCGCCTCCTCCATTTCACCCTCCCTAAAGATCAATGGGTAAGTATCCTTGGGTGAGGATTTACAAAGAAAAAAAGAAAATACCTACGTGGGTTCACGAGTATCCAACTCTGCCATCAGTGCAGAGTCCTTGTCCCGGCACACACCCTCCCCTCCCCCGCCCAGTGCCCGGCCCAAGGCTCCCCCGCCACCCCCTGCGCCTCTCCTGCTGCTGAGATCACTGGCATGCGGGCACGGACCTGTGCCCCTTCTTCTTCTTCCCCCTGTTCTCCTTGGGTCTCCCTCTGGGACCAGGGCCTTGGCCAGTGCCCTTGGCCCCCCAAGGGAGGACGTCCCCGGCTGGATGGTTGAGCAGGTGGTCGGTCCTGCCCCCTCTGCTCCGGGACTGGTGAATGACAACGGCTTCGGCGGGCAGGGCACGCTCGACCTCCCTGAGGTTGAACTGAGGCTTCGGTCGGGATTGTTCCTGGAGCAAGCGCCACTGCTGTAAGCTGATGTGCTTGACGGGCGCCTCTGGCGCGGGCTCCTCGGACCCGGGACCCTTGAAGCTGGGGGCGGTCTCAGGCCCCCGTGAGGTGGACGCGGCGACCTTGTGCTCCGCCTGGGGGCAGCGGGCTTCCCCGCTGTCTCCTTCCAGTTCACTGGTCTGGACGCAAAAGAGCACATAGGCGCGTTGCCTCCGTCCTGATGTGCCCTATGACGTCTGTTTTTTAAAAACCGACGAGGTCAGTTGTACTGTAGGTGTGATCAGAATCTCAGCTGAGCATCAAATGTGATACACAGTCCTGAGCCAGCAGGCAAAAAGCCATAGGGAATCTTGAGAACCGCTGCCTTAGACAGACCTTTATACCCTGTGACTATGACAGTTTATCCCTTCTTTTACACAAATATTCTCCCCCACAGTATGGAAGCTGTTATATGTGTGCTATGTAGATGTGGAAGTAATTGAGGTGACAATGCCTGCAATACTAATTCATTTTTAGTGAGGTCTGTCTCTGCTTTATTGAATAAAACGCCTTTTAAGAGTCTTAGTCACAGACTCATTTAAAACCCAACTTCTCAATTACATACACATATATATGCACATACATTTTTTAAATTATTGGATCATATTTATGGTATTGGTCTGTTTAGTGACATTGGACATGGTTACCATATTATGTCTTTCAATCTATGAATATGGGATATTTCCATTTACAGGAATCATAGTTTTTTCCTTTTTTTAAAAAAATAGCATTTTATAGGTTATATACACAGAATTATATAACTTTTATTAGATTTATTTTTAGGAATTTCAGTTTCTGATCATATAACATGCATTGTAAATTTCCTTTCCAATTTTTGTTTGTTTGTTTAGAAGAAATTCACTGATCTCACTTCTTCCTAACTTCACTAACTAAAGATTTCAGGAAAATTTCTAATTATGCAATCATGCTGAGCTAATAATATAAATTATGATAGCTTTCTTTCCTCTTTCTTCTTTCACATGTCTAATTGCATTGAATAGGAATCCATCATAGTGTTGAATATAAGTGGTAAAAGCAGAAATTCTGTGTTTTTTTTTAACAAATTTTTATTGATTTCAGAGAAGAAGGGGAAGGGAGATAGAAACATCGATGCTGAGAGGCAATCATCGGTTTTGTGCCACTTGCACCCTGCCCACTAGGGTTGGAGCCCACAACCCAGGCTCCTGTCCTGACAGGGAATGAACCTATGACCTCTTACCTACAGGGCCCATGCCCAATGACTGAGCACCACCGGAAGGCTTAGTCCAATGATTTAGAACTTGCACATGGCAGAGGAGTAGCTATTTCCTGCTTATTGCCCCGATCATTGTTAGCCATAGCAGGGATTCAAGCCTCTTTAATCCTCTTTAGTCATTGTTCTCCTGGGGCCTTTTTCTGGGGAAAGATAAGGGGGAAGGATCCTCAGTTCAGTCACCTGCTCTTCATTCTCTTCAGTTGGACACAGCAGAACCCTCTTCCTTATTTGAACTCTTAGGAATTTTTTAAAAAATATATTTTATTGATTTTTTACAGAGAGGAAAGGAGAGAGATAGAGATAGAGAGTTAGAAACATCGATGAGAGAGAAACATCGATCAGCTGCCTCTTGCACATCCCCCACTGGGGAAGTGCGCGCAACCCAGGTACATGCCCTTGACCGGAATCGAACCTGGGACCCTTCAGTCCGCAGGCCAACACTCTATCCACTGAGCCAAACCGGTTTCGGCTCTTAGGAATTTTTTTTAATTCTCTGTGCTTGCATTTATCATTTCCACTAACTTATAATCTGAAGAATCTAGGGATTTTGCCTTACCTTTGAAGATTGGGTTTGGGGTAAGGGAATTGCGAAGTTACTATGGCACATAGCAAAACTTAGAATATTCATTTATTTTGATAAATATGTTTTCTTATTGATTTCAGAGAGAGGAAGGGCAGACGGAGAGAGACTAACACCAATTTTTTTGCAGACAATGATTGATTGGCTGCTTCCTACAAGCCCCCTAAGGGAATCTAGCCTGAAACTCTGGCATAAGCCCTGACCAAGATTCAAACCAAGTCCATCTGGTTCATGGGTAGAGACTCAACAATTCAACCACACCAGCCAGGCTAGTTGCTCTATTTATTATTTGAAGGAAGAACCAGAGTGCAGGGCCTGGGTTATAGAATGTTAAAATGCTGTGTGACAGAATGAGAAATCTAGGAAATATTAGTGCAAGTGAGTTTGGACAAGTTTCTATAAGGGACAGCACTAGGTAACAGCACTACAGGAGGGCACACTGCCCACAGAATTAATTGATTTTTGCTGGAAAATGAAACGTATTGCATATTGAAAAGTTTCATGTTTCTACCAGAAAACACATTTACATTCTGTTAGGGTGTCAGCCCCCAAGTGTTTTCTATGTGTTGTAACCCTAATGCCCTATCAGACTATCATCGGTATAATCCACTTTAAGGCGGTTATTTCCTTTTGTAGATTTTAGCCAATCTCAGCAAGTGGGTGTGGCCTACGGGGAGTCCTATAAAAGGCCTCGCTGTGCAGAGCACGCATCACTTCTCCAGAGCAGACTGACTGAAGTTGGAGCTGCCAGTTCCAACTGACCCTGATATCGACAGAACTTACCGAGGTGGGAGCACTCATAGCAGACTCTGGTGAATATGGAATTTAGAATGTATATGTTTTTATTTTTTTGAGTAAATGTCTCTATTCCTTTAAAACTTTCAGGTCCAGAGTACCAGCTAGGCCCGGAGGTACCCCGGAGTGGCTGTGCCGGCGTCCCTGAGTGGGACCGGACCGGACCGGACTGGACCGGACCGGATCGGACTGAGTGCTGCACCAGGCATAAGTTGCCCCTTCCCGTCTAGCCGTTTCCCGGCCTGGCCCTGCTTCGCGCGTGTCGCTAACGGGGCTGCGGGACAGCCAGGCGCCGGGCCAGGGTGAGGCCTGTGCGGGGACCTCAGGAGCCGCCTACTAGATGGGGTCGTGAAGCTCTCCGCTTTAAATGATTTTATAAAACAGCGTGCTGCCTGCGGTGGTGTCCCGGGCCCTGAAAACAAGCGGAAGAAGATGGCGCTCACCAGCTTTTTACCTGCACCTACTCAGCTATCTCAGGACCAGCTTGAGGCTAAAGAAAAGGCAAGATCCCAGAGATCACAGCAGACCTCACTGGTCGCCTCCCGAAGAGAACCTCCCCCATATGGGTACCGGCAAGGCTGGATACCTCGGTTATTAGAGGATTTTGGAGATGGAGGTGCTTTTCCAGAGATCCATGTGGCCCAGTATCCACTGGATATGGGACGAAAGAAACAAATGTCAAATGCACTGGCCAGTCAGGTGGATGCTGAAGGAAAAATTACATATGATGCAATTGCTTGGCAAGGACAGTCAAAAGACATCCTTCTTCGCCGACCCCGTCCACACCTTTGGGAACCCCTGGACCCCAACAATGGGCGCCCAGTGGGTGCCACGGCCACCATCATGTCAGACACGGACAGCGATGAAGATTCGACTGGGGGCTGCCCATTTTCTTTAACTGGATTCCTTTTCGGCAACATCGATGGAGCCTTGCAGCTGGAGGGGGAAAGCGTCTTGGACGATGAGTGTAAGAAGCACTTGGCAGGCTTAGGGGCTTTGGGTCTGAGCAGCCTGATCACTGAACTCACGGCAAATGAAGAATTGACTGGGAATGACGGTGCTCTGGTAAATGATGAAGGATGGGTCAGGAGCACAGGGGATACTGTGGACTATTCATACATCAGTGAGTTAGCAGAAGATGAAAGTCGGAGATACCAGCACACAATGGGGAACTTGCAGCCCCTTTGCCACTCAGAATATGATGATGATGACTATGATGTTGATTGTAAAGACACTGATTGCAAGTTGATGTCTCCTCCACCTCCACCCTCAGGACCATTAAAGAAGGATAAGGACCAGGATGCTATTACTGGTATGTCTGAAGATGGAGGAGGCATCATCATGCCCTCCATCATTGCCCCTTCCTCTTTGGCCTCAGAAAAAGTGGACTTCAGTAGTTCCTCTGACTCAGAAACTGAG